AGAACCATGGCCTCGGACTTAGAGGTGCTAATTCTCATCCCAGCTGCTTTACACTCGACTGCAAACCGCCCCAGTGCATGCTGCAGGTCCTGGTTCGAAGAGGCCAACAAGACCACATCATCCGCAAAAAGCAGAGATGAAATCCGGTGGCTCACGAACTGGGCCCCACCCGACACCTGGCTGCGCCTAGAAATTCTGTACATAAAAATAATGAACAGAACCGGTGACAAAGGGCAGCCCTGCCATAGTCCAACATGCAGGGAACAGGTCCGACTTACTGCCGGCAATGCGAACCAAGCTCCTACTCCGATCGTACAGGGACTGGACAGCCCTTAGAAGAGGGCCCCCAACCCCATACTCTCAGAGCACCCCCCACAGAATACCACGAGGGACATGGTCGAAAGCCTTTTCCAAGTCCACAAAACACATGTGGACCGGTTGGGCAAACTCCCATGAACCCTCAAGCACCCTGTGGAGGAACACACACAGTACACCCCTTTGGTCCAAAGGCAGCCGATCGTCAAATGCTCCATCAGGAGATGGACTCCTGAAGCTTAGTATGAACTGAAAGACTGCCTTGACACCACAAACTGGGATGTACTATTGAGTCCAGATGATGAGGACATCGAGGGAGCAACCCACCGTCTGACGGATTATCTTAATTTCTGTTTGGATGTGGTTGCCCCTTCAAAGACTGTACGGTATTACCCTAATAACAAACCATGGGTAACACAGCAAGTCAAAGCTGTCCTCAACAATGAAGAAGGAAGCCTTCAGGAGGAACAATGAGCAGGAGATGAGAGCAGCACAGAGGGAGGTGAAACGCTGCCAGAAGGAGGCTAAAGACAACCACAGGTGGAAAATGGAGCAGAGGCTGCAGCAAAACAATATGAGGGAGGTCTGGGATGGTGTGAGAACCATCACAGGCCATAAAGCAAAGATCAGCTCAAAGGAAGGGGTAGTGGAGAAGGCAAACATTTTGAACAACTTCTTCAATTGGTTCAATCACTCCACACCCCCTCCACCCACACCCTCATTGCGTCCCCTACCCTCCCTTCCTCAGTGGCCTACCATCCACCCACTGCATCGTCGCTCCCTTCATCATTCCAGCCGGTACCAGTACCCGGACCAACAGCAACACCCATCTCAACCTGCCCTCCTACAACCTTTCCCCACAACCCCCTCAACCCCTCCTCTTTTCCTCTGCTCTTCTCTTCTTTCCCTCTCATACCTCACCCCCTTCCATTCTCCATTTCTCACCCTGCTCCCCTTCTCAACCCAGCTCATCTCCCCCTCCCCTTCCTTCCTCCCTTCCTTCTCCATCTCTTCCTCTCCCCTTCTCCCTTCATCCCATCCCCATTCTGTCATCACAGCCAACCAAGTGAAGAGAGAACTGAGGAAGCTCTGCCCCCGGAAGGCAGCGGCTTAATTACTCGGATTGCGCTCACCTGTGTCCGGGGCTTCACTGGCGTCGCAGAGGCAATTTCTCTGTCATTGGTGTGGAACCCCAGGATTCACCTCCTGGGCAAGTTTGAATCCCGGTTAGGGCAGTTGTACCTTCCAGTGGACTCTAACCCTAACTCTAACTTTTTTTTTAACTTTAATTAAATAAATTATTTTTTCCGAACAGTGCCTGTAACATGATTCATGGTTACATGTTAGCTTGTTCCTGCTTTGGCACCCCGACCATAGTTGGAATGCACAGGGAAGACTTAGTGATCTGCTCCAGGACCAAAGCTAACATTAACTCCGGGGCTAACTCCCTTCACTTTGTGCTTGTCTGCAGCAGAGGTAAACAGAAATTGAGAAATTGAGGTCTTCATTGTGAGCCACACTGAGCACAACAGAACATAAACAGCATTTTAACAGCTCCTGTATAACCAACTCATGCTTCAACATGACAGGGCTCAAACTGCTCTCAACTTTCGCTACAGTTCTCTCTCATGTGCCTCATGCACATATACGCACAAAGCCATTCACAGACAGATATACGCCACCTGAACCAGATTTTGTGTTTGAGTATGTGTGTGTGTGTGCAACCATATTACCAAGGACCTAAATTATCTGTTGTATTTTTATCCTTTAATTCAATATAATATTAAATAAAGATTCTAACCATTGCTTCTCTTTTTAGGGGATGCCTATTTCTTCAAGGACAATCTCTACTGGGTATTAAAGAATGGAGGACTAAATCAAGATGTTGTGAGTCCTAAATCCATTGCTGTAGACTGGCTCAGATGTACCGTGACTCCTTCAGCATCAACGCCGGCCAGCCCTCACTTTCCAAAAACATGCAGTTGTGACATAAGAGGTTCATCTTCTGTTGTGCAAAGCAGCTGGATGCTACTACTGTTTCTTTTACTTGTTATTGATGAGGTTTTTTGTTCACACAGATAATGCGACTTTGCTACTCTTCATTGCCTGAACACAACAGAGAAGTGTTATTCTTTTTTCAGATCAACTTATATATAGAAGTGCTAACAAGTTGGCAAGCCTATTTTAAACTGCTCAAAGGCATTGGTGACACAATTTAATACAAGGACACCATCATTTTAACAAACAATTTTTTTATTAGGAAATTTAATCTTGGAAAAAAAATACAAACAATGAATTCAAAACAACTGTGAAACTGGTCTCTGTGAAACATTTAAATATATATGTTTATGTTTTATATTTAAAGATTTACAGTGACTTAACAATGCCTATAAAAAGAACATACATTAACTCTTTATTTATAATAAAATATTATGTTAAACTGTACTTTAAAATGCTAATATGTGTGGTCTTGTGTTTTTGATACAAGGAATCAATCCAAGTACTCTGACCTAGTCCGACTCACCACACAATAGTGACCTTGATTCATTTCAACATAAGTTTGAAAAGAACATTCTGTGTGCCCAGCCCATTACTCAAATAAACAAAGTTCTTGTGTTCATCCGCAAAAGGGAGTTGGAAGAAATTTCAGTTTACTTTGACTTACTGTATATTCTATCAGCCCCCATATACTGTACATATACACACATACAGTATGTAACGCCTGATCTCTCATCTCCCACACAGGCAAGATGCAAGAGGAAATAATGTAACGCTTGTGAAAACAAAAAAGCTTGTAAGCCTAGTTTTAGTGACAGTCCTGCTAAGCTCCAGTTCCAGTGACAGTTTTTGGTTTTGCCATCACAGTTGCGTTTTGCAGAGGTTGGACTTTATTATACTCTGCATGGTTCCCCTTGAAATGCCTTGAAAACATATTGTTACACAGGTTTACCGGTATGTTCGGTACCCGTGTATTTGTACCTAACGACCAAACAATTTGGGACAAATGCCTGTACAGTTACAGCCCTAATATTTAAATATTAATCCATTTACTTACAGTTCACATATAATTACTTTTGGAAACTTTGAGTAGCAAGTTGAATGTCACATTTGCTTCATTGCAGGCAAGGTTTTTTGCATTAGGCCCCGATATTCGTTGCTCACAAGTTTTTATTCACTTTTGGAATAAAAATAATTCTCAGTGATGACAGTTATTTTGTATTAATGAATTTAAATTGTTTGTTTTTGTTTTGCTATTTGTTCAATTTTTTGAAAAATAAAGTTCTCATTAAAAAAGAGAAATGAATCTTGTCAAAAATAAAATCTGTATAATACATGAAGAATAGAATGGAATGGAAATGGAAAGTGAACTCCTTGTCATTGTGACATTGTGACACACACCACTGCACACAATGAAATTTGACCTCTGCATTTAACCTATCAACAAAGTGAACAGTAGGCAGCTTTGTGAGCGCCCGGGGAGCAGTGTGTGGGGACGGTGCCATGCTCAGAGCACCTCAGTAGTAACTTGGCACATAGTGGATTCGAACCTTCCGGACCCAAATCCCTTCCTTAACCACTAAACCACCACTGCCCCGTGTGAATATATATGTGACTGTATTGCAGTCTGATTGGACTCCAGGTCAACATGGGTTGCAAGACTGTTCTTAATTTTGATTTATTCAATTTAATAAAATTGAATTGCCATAATTTCAGACTTTTTTGATGCTTCTTCATATGTTACTTATGTAGTCCAAAATATTTGTTTTGATTGATGAACATTGATTTGGCACATATAATAAACATGATACTGTGTAGCATTTCAAAGTTCGGAATGTTACAGCAGTCATAAGGGTGTGACAACCCAGAAAATAATAGAAGGCTATGATTATAGAACACATAACAATTACCTTAGCTTCTCTTCATTTAACTCTATCTTGGATTTTGCTAAGAGTGTTTTTTTGAAGAAATAAGACCTGAGAACAGTTCTTATAATAACATATGTGGTCCAGCCCAGCAGGCACAGATAAAATAACTAACTAGGTCAGTCACCTTCTATGACAGAAACATGTGGAAACAACCTCAAAGCTAATTTTAACTTCTTCTCAAAGAGTCAAACCAAATGTTTTGTTTGGGTTTGCTGGGAACTTCTGAAACAACAAGTGGCCAACCTAGCTCTATGTTGAAAAAATGCTGTTGTTTAAGGTGTTTGCCCAACAAATGTTTTGGCACATTTGTTTATTTAGCAGTCCATTTAAAAGTGCAAAATACTTTTGAATTAATTATTGGATTATGCACATATGAAAATACAGGCTGGCGGTCTGCCTGCTGGGCATTGCTGCCTGACGCACCTCCGCCAGTGCCTTTGTGCTGGCGTGCTCATCTGAACACCTTCCTTGGCCCCACTAGTGCCTGAGTGTCACTAGTGGTGCCGACTTACCTCAAGGGTGAATTCCTTGGTATGATCACGGGGCGGGGATTAGGGCTGTGGCAGGGGGATTATTTGGGGTCATCCTTATACTTACCTTCAGGGTATGGGAGGGGGCTGAGGTAAGGGATGGTTTGGAATGGGGTGGCTTACTGGACTATGGCTTTTCCTGATTAGTTGGTTGTTTTTATAACTTGACTATCTTACTGTAAGACACATCTTCAGTAGTGGACCATGGGTTCATCGAGTGTTTTGGCCATTATCACTAGACACTCTCCCCCTAGGAAGGCCCCGCTGGGGTTGATCATGCCCCAGGGTGTGTCTTGCTAATTAATTACTATTATTAGGTTTGTAACTAGGTTCCTAACTTGATTGTAGCTAGATTCCTAACTTAGGTTGATGGCCTGTTTTGCTCTAAAGTTACCGTTTATTATTAAGTTATGCCTAATGTGTTTACTATTGAAAATTTACGTTATTAAAGTGAATGGGTCATGCTTTGTTTGGCCCCCAGCTCACGTCTTTCCTCCTGAGCCACAGCCAAAAGCTGCCCTTCTCTGCCTTTTCTGCCAGTTCCCTCATGGCTTTCCTGCAGGCTGCTCCTGTGCATCCCATGTCACGGAGCAAGCATATGGTTGAGGATCCAACGAAGCCCCTGCATCCTACTTCCACGGGGCGCATGATGGTTTTCCAGCCAGCCTCTCTGCATTCTGCTGCCAAGTCTGCGTACTTTTCATGTTTCCGCTCGTTGGCAGCCTCAATGCCTTCCTCCCATGGGACGGGAAGCTGTGCCATTAGAATGGTCCTGCGTGGTTCTGACCACATGATCAGATCTGGGGGGAGTGCAGTTTCTGTGATCTCCCTGGGGAATTGGAGCTGCCTCCCCAGGTCGACCCTCATCGACCACTCGCTGCCTGGTGAGAGCACCGTTGGTGTTACTCTCTGGCAAGGAAGGTTGGCGTTCTCTCCGGCCTTTGCAAACCGTATCAGAGGTCTTGGTGTGTTGTTGGCCTTCTGTCTGCATGACTCCGCCACTTCTGCCAGCTTCCTTAACACCAGGTCATGCCGCCACCTGTAGTGGCCTTGGGACAATGTGGTCTTACAGCCTGACAGGATATGCTGGAGGCTTGCATTGCCAGTGCTGCTCAGGGCACAGGATTCTTCTGCACCAAACCACAGGTGGAGATTTCTGGGACAAGGCAGGGTATCGTAGGACGACCTGATCAGGAAGCTGAGCCTGGCCTGGGGGATCTTCCACATATCAGTCCATGCCGGGGGCCTGTCTGTACCACCTTCCCATGACATCCAGCCTCCCTGTCTGCTTTGAGCCACTGCTTTGATTTGAATGTGTTCCATCTCGGTCCCTGCCACCACCATGGCTTTCTGCTCTTCTTTCGAGGCCTTTCACCAGAAGAGGGTGGTCTTGCTCCATCCAAGGCCTGCTCGGCCCTCCTGGACACTGCCGAATACCTCACAGTGTTTCAGCCTGCTGATCGCCCTGTCCACCTCTTCCTGGGCTTTCCACTTTCTCCCTGTTCGTACTTGGCCGGCAGCTGCTCTCACCAGTTGATCCGTGGAATCCCTCAGCTCCAGCACCATCCAGGCCTTCTCTTGCTTGTAGCCCAGACCTATGGATCGCAGTGGCAGCTGCAGTGCATTTCTGCCAAAGAGGCCCACATCTGATAGGCATCTCGGCAGTCCCAGCCACTTCCTGATGAGCAAGTTTGCCAGCCTATCCATCTTGTCCACCACAGACGAGGGGACTTCGCTCATCTTCAGAGGCCACATCACCCTTGGGTACAGTATGAACTGGTAACTCCATACCTTGTACTTGCCGGGGAGCTGGCTCTGGTTGATCCTGGCCTGGCCATCTGCCAGCTGCTTCCTCACAATGCAATTAATCACAATTTTAAAACTTTTGTGGTCCTGGTCTTGGTCCAAGTCCCTAGTCTATTTTTAATATAAACTCAAGTATATATTTAATTTAGAGATAAGAAATAAGAGAAGGAAGCACGAAGAAAAGGACAAGAAGAAGATAAAGAAAAATGGAGATGGCTGTTTCTCATTTCGTTTAGTTTGCAGGGAATTTGAGAAATTTGGTGTGAAAGATTAACGTTTCTTATAAAACATGGGTCTGCAAACTTCACTATCAAAAGACCCTCCCCCCCCCTTTTTTTTAAAAGACAAATAGTCTAGCTGCAAAGCATAACACAGCTTATAAACTTTAAAAGTTTTAATTGTTTTTTAGATTTTACATTTTACAACCACAGAATACAACAAACAATTCAAGATTGAATCCCGGTAAGGGCGTTTCCAGTTGAGTGCAGATAAGCAGACAAAGATGGATGGATAGCATTTAGGGATAGCATTTAGCGCTAGCTTAACAGCTTTAAAGTAATCATAAAATTCCATTTCAGTGTCCTCACATCCTCTTCAGGTTTACTTTTCAGCCAGCAATCAACTGAAGCATCTGAACAAAACAAAAAAAAAACTTCCATTAGCTCTGGGTCTGAAATTAATGTTTTGTTTTGTTTTTCTAAAAAACAATAGCCTTTCAAATGCTATTGTTCTCACCTGTTTATTGTAACTTCTGTTTTAGGGAAGTGGTGGCTTAGTGGTTAAGCGGACTTGGGTCCAGAAGGTTGCAGGTTTGAATCCACCAGCTGCCAAGTTACCACTGAGGTGCTCTGAGCATGGCACCGTCCCCACACACTGCTCCCCGGGCGCTCAAAAAGCTGCCTACTGTTCACTTTGGTGATGGGTTAAATGCAGAGGTCACATTTCATTGTGTGCAGTGATGTGTGTCACAATGACAAGGAGCACTTTCCTTTCCTTTCTGAAATTCAGTGCAGATCATCTCTATGTTGGGACTGTACGAAGTGACTTTGACCGTCACACAGAACTGCAGGCTCTAATGTGTGAGGCAGGAGCGAGAAAACTTGCTCACATAATGTGTAATATGTTGTGCCAAAAATGCACAGGACTCCAAATGCATATTTTTTCATGTTCATATACGTACGTTTCAGAAACGTATATACTTGTCGAAAACAAGTTTGTTGGGTTTGGGGAGGTTTTCAATATCAATATGCCCATTTGTGCTCTTTAGAGAGAGTAGCCTTCTGTCTGGCGACTTTTACAAGATTCGCAGTCAGGCATTTGAACTTGGACACCCATAACTCTTTATCTGCTATGTCGGCCAGTTTAATTTCTAGATCGGGCTTACTTCTGTGAATGTGGATGTGTTCAGCAGAGTTTCTATAAATGCAACTTCCTTTGCAATAATTGAACGGTGGAAATGATCACAATTTATGTGATTGTATGCTCTTTCTGTATTTTAGAGTAATATTTACATTATTCCATGGCTGTATGCCATAGAGAGTATGTAGTAGTGATGTAATAGTGGTTCCAGAGTGATTCGTTCAAAATGAACAAATCTTTCATATGGCTCGTGACTCCCGAGTCATATGAAAGATTCGTGACTCGTGACTCCCAAATCATTTGAAAGATTTGTTCGTATTGAACTCATGAATCACTCACAAATCACTCACTGCGAACAAATCACTCTCTGCAAACTAATCTTTCACTGCGAACAAATTACTCTGCGAACTAATCTTTCACTGTGAACTAATCTTTCACTGTGAACAAATCACTCTGCAAACTAATCTTTCACTGTGAACTAATCTTTCACTACGAACAAATTACTCTCTGCAAACTCATCTTTGACTGTGAACTAATCTTTCACTACGAACGAATTACTCTGGAAACTAATCTTTCACTGTGAACTAATCTTTCACTGTGAACAAATCACTCTGCAAACTAATCTTTCACTGTGAACTAATCTTTCACTACGAACAAATTACTCTCTGCAAACTCATCTTTGACTGTGAACTAATCTTTCACTACGAACGAATTACTCTGGAAACTAATCTTTCACTGTGAACTAATCTTTCATTGCAAATGAATCACTCTCTGTGAACTAATCTTTCACCGTGAACTAATCTTTCGCCATGAACTAATCTTTCGCTGTGAACAAATCACTCTCTGTGAACTAATCTTTTGCTGTGAACTAATCTTTCGCTGTGAACTAATCTTTTACTGTGAACTAATCTTTCGCTATGAACGAATCACTCTCTGTGAACTAATCTTTCGCTTCGTTCTTGCAAATTCATTTCTTTTGTCACGTGACAGAGAGCTCGGGTCTCTTTTGCTCTCATTCATCTTCACATTGTGGTGTGTTTTTCTTTGTTTTCACATGGTTTTAATTGCTTATGGCATATTGTGTACTTTGTAGACTTTGTCAGC